CTAGCAAATCTAACCAAGATCATGCGCGGTGTTCACTCGAAAACGTAACGCACAACTAAATTCGGTCCGAGCAGGTCATTTTTAGCGTACGCTATACTATTGCGTATTGCGTACGCAAGAGCCAGCGACGCTATACTAAAACTGTCTATTTTTAACGTGCATCACGCAGTAGTGATCACACGAACGCGTGCCGGTACGAAACTCATCCAGATCGAAACGGGCGGGGGCGGCGGGGATCGAACCCAGGAGGTTCCCAGCGCAAGCTTTCGCTCCACGCTCCGAGCTGAGACGCGTTAGCCCACTCGGCCACTTCCTCCCTGGCCCCGGCCACAGGTGGGTGGCCGGCTTATGTAGCCTGCGGGAAATAGACGCGCCCGGGGAGGCCGGTAGAAGGTCACTCGAAAACGGGACGCGTCCATAATCACTCCCAAGGGTGTGCCGATGGCGCGTTCACCCAAAATGAGCAAGGAAGAACCGGCCCCTTCGGGGAATGCCCCTTCTGTGTTCCTGAGTCTCCGGTTTTATTACCATGAATCATCACCAGCTCGCTTGTTTTTTAAGTATTATTGCAGTGGTTCTTTGTATCCGGGAGGCCGACGCCATTGGTGACGACGACTCCCACGGCCTGCTTGAAGCTAGGCCTAGATAGGGATAGAAGGAACCCCATGGTTCCCACAACGTAAGGCTCAGAAAACATGCGCTATCTTTAAAATCCTCTCCGTCAGGGCATCTCGCTCTACATGTGAGGGACTGTAGATGCGCCCCGCTACTGTCCAGCACAAGGATCCTGAAGAGGTGTCCAGATAAGCGAACTTGAGAAATCCTTGAGGCTGAAGTGATTGCGACCAAAGGAGACGCCTGCATCAGCGCTCCTTCGGTGACTTTGTCATCAAAAGAATTAGAGTACATGAAATATTTTCCTTAGATATTTTTAATTTGCTTTACCTTCCTCTTCCTTTTTCTTAATATATTCACTGTCATTTCTTTCACTGTTACTTTAATCATGCCCACCATTTCCTATTGTTTTTACTAATTTCTTCTTTTTTCTTTTTTTCTATTTTCTTTTTCAATTTTAAGTCTTTTCAGATCCTTTCACTCCTTTCTCATAAATATTTCTAACATTTAACGTTAGGGTTCTTCATCTTCCTCATCTTCCGAATTAAAACGTCAGTTGCGAGTAAGCGCTTGTCCTGTGTTGTCTCCCTCTTGTCCTTGTCTTTTGCGCTTTTTAATTTTCGTAACTAGGCCAACAAATCATTTTTGCGAGCCTATTTCACTGGGCGATCGGGATCGAGACCGACGTGTTTCACTGGTCGTTTTGGATTAGCTCCCGATCCAGATCTCGATCTGGATCCGAGAAAAGTCGCTCCCACGATTTCGGCCGATTCAACCGGAAGCCAGCCGGGCCAGCCTTCGGCGCACACACGTGACTTCTTTTCTCGTGGGGCATCTCGCCGATCTCGCCTCATCTCGCCCATCTCGCCTCAGAAGAAGAAGAAGCACGTGGCAGGCTGGGCTCCTAGATTGTCTCGACATCAGAAGAATTCGTAATGGCCGCTTGCTTGCCCATTGGCTCGACAGCCGGTTCGTTTTCCAGGAAGGAGAAGAGAAGGTGTTTGCCGCGCTACGGGCATTCCGGCAACCTTTGCTAGAAGCGCCTGAGCCATTCCTGCCACTCGTGCGTCGAACACGTGTTAGCGCCGCGATTGCGAAAAACGTCTTCGAAACGACCGCGGCGGCTGCGGTAAGGGGATTCCCGGGCAGTTGAATGACGGGAAGGCATCCGCCGATCCCGGAGCAGTGGTCATGTTCCACTGGGGATCCGTAGGCGGCGCGACCCCGTTCGGATCGTGTGCTCCAGTCCGGATCTGGTCAACTGAGCCCGGCACGCTCCAAAACGCCCCGTGGAATTCGCCATTAGAAACTTCTGTGTGCTACGCATTGGGGATTGTCATCAAAATCCTAGGAATGTTCAGCTTCGGCACGACAACTCATGACAATACACGATTGCAAACAAGGTATCTGGCGTCTGGCATGTTCCTCCTCGTGTGAGCGAGCACGTGCAGACCTGCCAAAGCTATACTTACGTGCAGCGTCAACGTGCTTGCGCGCGTGAGGCACAAGCCTGGACACCATGCTTGGCAACGCTTTTTAGAATGTGGTGAATTTTATCAATTTTTTTTTTCAACTAAGCACCTTGTACAGATATCAGTGGTACGCATCGAAAATGAAACAAATCGAGAAATAACCACACAGCGAACAAAACCGTAACTTTCGTACATCTGCCGTTGACGAATAGGTACTCAATTATAATCGCCATTAGCATATAAATATTTAGACTGATTTTGTAACCATTAGAGGGCACTGAATTTGTGAAAGGGTCTTTTGAACCCAGGACCCTGGGTTCTGCAGCGCGAGCTTTCGCTACACGTTCTCCGAGCTGGTGGGTGCTAGACGACTTGGCCACCCATCTCCCGCTAAAGAGGGAGGTGTGGGGAGGCCTAGATCGATTCAATCCAAAAATCCAGGACGGAAGTAGATGGCGCAGTCATCGAATCTGATGAAAATTTCCGCCATGAGTCGCGTCGCGTCGCCGCATGTACTGGGATCATAGCGGTCAACGTAAGTCTGTTGCGTACTGTGGCTCACCGTTTTTTCTTCCACTGCGCTTTATCTTATTTTATGTAACGATCTCCCGCTACGAGAATATACTCAGGCTTTCATGAGAACCGTGGCATGCGAAAAATAATGATAAGAATTGAGCAAGTCCACTGAGGGACGACCCAGACGATATGTCACATGGTGCTTTCATCCTAAAAAAAAAGTATGAACCCTTCTCAGATTATTGAAGTGTCGTGGATGTACCGGTGTTCCCTGACTAAAGCGGCTTTCAAAATAAATCTTGCATAATATTCTTTCCCAGAATATTTGTTTTCCAGATGTAGGGACGGGCTTCGTCTTTTGGTATAGAAAAGTGAGAAGTGTAGCTGTAAGGTTAGGTGGCCGGGCTCTCACTCTCGGACAGAGCGATGGCGTTGAATAGCATTGATGGTATGCTGCGCTGGCGTAGTTAACCAGAAAAAAACACTGGAGAAATGAAGTTAAAGCAGAAGGACAGACAAAACATGCATGAAGTGGCGCAGACTAACAACTGTTTAATTTCTTTCTCTTTTTTCTCCGCCCGACCCGTATATCCGAAATTGCGGCTAAGAAATACGGGTCGGGGGGAGAAAAAAGAAAAAGAAATTAAACAGTTGTTTGTCTGCGCCAATTCATGCATGTTTTGTCTGTCCTTCTGCTTTAACTTCATTTCTCCAGTGTTTTTTCCGCGTAACTACGCAACGCAGCATACCATCAATGTCAAACCAACTAGCCCAACTCCAAGTATTATTAGTTGAATAGTATTTCCCTCTTTCAGACGTCCTTTATCAGGGGAAGTACGCTGCAATTTTTCTAAACATATGTACTCGTACTAAACCTTTCGTAATTTCCCTCGTCTTTCACCTTGGTTATAAATAAGAAGAAAAAAAGGCTTTGTGGACGTTTAAATACATAGCTTGCATGTGAGGTCATTCACGGTCATGCCAGTATTTTATGCACCGCGAGCTTTCGGTTCGCCATGTTAGTTTCACACCACAGAAGTTTTGGTTCGGAGAAACCAGCAAGTAGAAATAACCGCCAGTACCCAGCAATGGCGACACTTGCAAGCTACATCGAGAGGACGATCTACCTCTGAAATTAGGTGCATGGTTCGACGGGGGGGGGGGGGGGGGGGGGGGGGTGTAAATTATTTAGTGTGGTAAAAGTCAGTCAGTAGGTTCTGCGACTTAACCTGAGGTCTGTAACGTGCTTCACGCTGCTGTGATCACATGACCGCACACCTCTACGACGCTTGTTTATGTCAAAACAAACAGGGGCCTGGCTCAGGTAAGTGATGGGATGAGCAGATCTATGACGTTTGTTTCAGGTTCGATCTCAGCGTCCCCACACTTCTCCTGAAGCCGTGGATTGTTTGCCCCGTTGTGCTCAAAATAAAATGGCTTAGGCGGAAGTGTGCCGTCATAGCTTGCAGTGTCCATCAGTTGATTCATGACATTCCGAAGCCTGCCCCAGTATGTCAAACATAGTGCGAAAGGATTCAGGTTCTCCTTTTGTTCATGCGACAAAAAAACATGTTTAAAAAAGTCTAGTACAATACCCCACAGGGGCCGGAATCTAAACAAATCTGGAGCTTACCTTAGTAAAAGGCTGATCTCAAAGCCATTTCCACTATTTTGTTTTTCTTTTGAACCTAGACAACAAATCACCTAATTGGCTAAAACAAGGTGCCGTGTCTTACGCGTGTATTACGTGTGCTCCGCAGTCAACAAACGCGCGAGAAAAGACGCCCCAACGTCTCGCAGTGGGAGCAGCTCCCCGCAAAACATCTTGGGGGCATTCTTTTCGGAACCGGTCACTGGCCATTCACTACTCATTTCCAACTCTTCAATGTACAAGACAGCTCATCTTGAAGTTCAGAACAGCGAGCGGAACAAACTTAACTGCAAAGCAATCGCACGGCAAACGGTTCCCGCAACGCATGCCGTCTGCTGTAAGCAACGAAAAAAAAAAAAAAAAACGGAGAGGAAAAGAAATAAAGCGCACGGTCGGGTGTAGCCACGTGACTTCCAGCACACTCTCTTTAACAGTTCTCCGACCTCCGTGCGCAGGTTTCGGCATCGGCTTCGAGCAGTTGTTGTTTTTTTGGGCTTTATTAAAAAAAATACGTGACTCTGTAGCAAAATATTAATGGGGTAATCATCTGACATCATATTAAATCGCCCGGCAAAAAATGAAAAGACAATGACGTAGTAAAAGTGTTTTTCCTCCCCTACCGAGGAAGTCGACGATCCCGCGATGCAGCTTTTCTGGCAAACAGGCTCGCACTGTCTCGCGCGGGGACTCGCGTCTGCCGTCGTTCTTGGAACACAGGGTGAAAGGCACAGCTAGCTGCCTTCGGGATGGAGACGGGTAAGTTAATTCAATTACTGGCGACCCTTTTGCTACGGCGCGTGACGCCTCTTCACCGCCGAAGAAGATCCGTACAGCCAACCAATGCGCCTACCGTGTGCTGAAGTTGAATCGATAGACCATTTATTTCTGCCTCGTCGAACATATGTAGACGTACGCCAACGCTCGCTGGCGGGGCCTCTTTTCGGGATTGGCCTTCATCTTAAGTCAATGTCCAACTGCTCATACATCATACAAACGACAAGTTGCTCGCTGCAGACGCGACGGCATGCAGAGTCCACCTATCCTGGGAAATCGAAGGGTCGAAGTGTTTGGGCAGAGAACGTTCGTGCATGCCGCCAATGGTGGCACGAGCCTTTCGCTCGAAAGCCTGTCATGGTCACTCGTGAATTCATAGAACGCGAACGTATTTTTTACAGCGAAGCTGTTTATGGCTAGGATTTCGTGGATTTTTCGTGTGCGTCAACAAAGACTCGGAGAGGGCTCGCACCGCCCTCTCTTTGGAGTCGTTCCGAGCCGCTTGCGTGCCGAATTTCCTTTCCTTCCGCCGGGTGGCGGTCCCGTCGCGCGTACCAAGCAAAGATTAAGTGAATGGTGGCAGAAAGCGAGAGAAAACTATGTATTTTCTTATTCACTGGTGGCAAGGGGGTTTCATAGCCTCACTTTCTTTGCAGTGCGGAGTGAATATAGATTTCACATTTAAATATTCTAAGCTTAAATGGTAAAACAAAATGGCTAGGTGGCGTAAGCTACCGCCCGATCCAAAGGGCTCAGCCGGATTCATCCATCCATCCATCCATCAAGTTTCCTCCGGCTCCTCGGGGCGGCGATGGTCCTTGACATGGGAGAGAGTACCTTCCGTCACGATGACCACCGGTCAAGACAATAAATGTGTTCGTTGCTTTGTTCAAAATTCTGTGTAACGTCTGTGTCGCGTGCTAAACAGCTCCGCTTGGCATCCGCCTTCACACACTGGAATGGCTAATGATTTTTTTTTTTCATATCAGAACCTCCGGGACCATGATTTAAAGAAAGGATGGATTATCTCCGAACGTGCCTCATGCCTGTTGGAAGCATGCTTGCTTTTATACGCATGTATGCTTGGAACATATCTGCAGATAGTTTTTGTATGCCTAATGTGAGAGGACCGTCTTACATGGAAGAAACAGACAGTGTCTGCAGACGGTATTTTGTATGACCTGCCTGGGTCTGCAAATGATACTTTCGCTAAAATATAATTATAACTATACTGCCATTAGGCCTTGAGAGGGCAGCGTGAATATAGGTCGTCGATGCATATAGGTCGTTGATGCATAGCAATGCTATAATATATTGTGTCAGCAACAGATATCAGTTATTCATTCGACGTCACAGCGCGCTCGACCAAAGCGCAGCTCGGTGTGGAGGGATCCCTGAAGCGCAGCCACTATTTCAGCTACGCTTCAGGGTCGCGACCCTTGAGCGCAGCTTAATATCACAGTTGCCTGACCATTTCTCTTCAAAATCGCAGGAAATAGTTTTCCCTACTCTACATTTTTTTAAACAGTCTCCGGCAGAGAAAAACAGTATTGCCCCAGCTGCCCACAGCCTCAAAAGCCCGGGAAGTCGTCTTTTTAAATCATAATCATGGCCAGTGTCGCCCACTCTCCACCAAGCACCCAAATGTCTGCGATCACCATAAAACTGGAAAATAAGGTCATTGCGTTGTGTGCTTGCTTAGCCAGCAAGGAATTAGTGGGCGTCTTATGTCTTAGCTGTAGACTAGAACTTTACCCCGTGCAGTACCGTTGCTAGCCTCGGAGTCTGCATCACGTAGTAGGGATACACATCCACACGCCGGGACGATACTTGTTCAGATTGAAATGGGCCTAAATAGGGTTGGAACCCAAAGTCCCTGCGTCTTGCAACTCAAGCTTTCGCTCCACGTGCTCTGAGCTAAAGTTCGTTAATACGCTCGGTTACCGATCCTCCGGCGAATGGTTTGCCGATACTTTAAGCGGAAACTTATCTTGTGTCCATAATATGAGAAATTGCATCACTTGTCCGTATGTATCAATGCGTTGAGCTAAACGTGCCTAGGAGTTCCTGAAGCCGCCCTGGCCGTGTATGCGCAGTTGTCAAGCCTCAGAGGGAACCAAAGCCCAGCGTGTGGTCTACCCGCCTGTGGCAGCTGTACGTTTTCCTCTGGAAGGACGTCTACGTTAAACGGCTTTTACGGCACTATACGACGACGGTCCTGGAGGTGGCTCTCATCGTGGTTCTTCTGCTGGGTATCCAGGAGTACGCCGTGACCACGGAGAGAATGAAGGCCCTCCCGGACACGCACTTCCCGCCCAGCACTCCCACCAAGTACTGGAAGGGAGCCCGAGACGTCGCTGCCATCGTCAAGGTGTGACTTTGTGTTCTTATACACGGCACATATGCTCATTTTGGATTCTTTCTGCTGGTTGAATTGCTATGGTGAATTGCAGTGGGTAACCACTGTTTTGTATGTCTCTTGTGAAAACGAAAGGGTATGTGTCTCTTGTGAAAACGGAAGGGTATGGATGCATGGTTCAGCTAGTTTGTACATATTGGTAGAGCTGCTTCGTCCTGTTCCGTCCTTCCTTCGCTCGTTTCCTTAAGTTCAAGCCGACTCTTCACCAACAAAAAGTTTGTAAAATTTCAAGCAATTAAACCAGGGAGACACGGCTGCTTCTATCCACGAGGGCTCTACAAACAAAATTAGGACTATTTCGCATCATCTGTTTAAATATCTGTGTTCACATACTGCAAAACGCATAAAACAATAGAGCACTACTATTTTAACTTGGGCATATTTATGCGCCAGTGTTACCGCTACACGGTGCAACCATTCTCAGAGCTCGGGGTACCGCTCGCCGTGACAAACCTCCTTTCATTTGGAGCAATTTTCGTTGGCTTGGTACAAACAGTCATATGCTAAACCATCCATGATTACATTCCGGTATTCAACAATTACGTTGTTAGGTCCTCTCCATTTCAAAGCACAATATTTAGCTAAAAAAAAGAATGGCTTTAATATTTTTAATTAAAATCGCACTAATAGTGAACAAAAGGTTAGGGCGCTAACAAGCTGGGGGGGGGGGGGGGGGGGGTTAACCATTTTACCGAAAACCCCGAGACTGGAACGAGAAGAGACGGACAGACACAGAGTCTCAAAAACTGAAATTCAGCATCGTTTCAGCATCGGCATGCTTGAAACTTTGTGTTTGTCCGTTCCTTCTCGTCCCTGTCTCGGTGTTTTTAGTAAAACATCAAATCTCACTACTATTTGGCTAATCCCTTCTTGTGTATATGCACCAACAACTGAAGGATAGGACAAGAGCAACATACATCACCGTGGTCATTGTCTTGTGAATCAAGTAGTCTTTTCCTTCTCCTCAATATTAAAACATTAACATTGAAACATATCGCCTTCATCTTTCTTTTACAATGCAGATATTGTACCATCCAAACTTTCAATATCTGGCCAAACTAGTGCACGAATCAAGCAGCGTCCTTGGTGTGTCCGACGTCACGGCCGCGGACAGCATCAAGCACCTCGAGGATAGCGTAAACAAATCCAGCGGTAACGTCACCACTACCATCGGCCTGCATTTCAAAGACATCCGTCAGGACACCATCAAAGCCCCGGACAGCCTCCACTTTACCCTGATCGTCGGCCATCTCCCTGCGGACGTACATGTGGAGTTCGGCGAGAACATCCTTTCAAGACCTCCAGGACCCGCCAAGGAGGATCGATTCAGCGAGGTCAGCACCATCCTGCCACTCGTGGGCACACTCCAGCAGAAGCATCTCGAGAACGTTGCAACTGACCGTAACCTTAAGAAAGAAGACGTGTCGACAGTCAGGCTTCAGCGGTTCCCGTACCCTTCCTACATCGAGGAAACTGACGTCAGCAACTATGCCCTCGTGCTGAGTCGTTTCAGCATTGGCATGCTGGTGCCTTTCGCAGTCTTTGCGACGCGTTTGACGGACGAGAAGACCTCTGGGATGAAGGAGATGCTGCGCATCATAGGGGTGAGCGACTGGGTGTACTGGGCCAGCCACTACCTGAGCGCCTTTTTCATGCACCTTATCACGGTCACCCTGATGATGATCTTTTTGTGCATCAAGCGCAACGATGAAGGACGGTCGTTCATCCAGAGAAGCGACCCGTTCCTGGTGTTCTGCGTACTCATGAACTTTTGCAGTTCCTGCATGCTTCACGCAGCACTCCTGTCACTCTTCTTCGCCAACCGTGAGTTTACCACGGATCATGCTCAAATATTCGGCTCTAGAAAATTTGGTCAGGCGAACTACGGTCGCGAATGACAGTAACAGTGCTCAGCTGTCTAATAATTCTGTATTTCAATGGAGCTAGATGGAATATCTGATATAGAAATTTCACAATTTAGAATGCCGCACTTTTACGAGTTTGGCATACTTCAAGAGGACCTAGAGATTGTCCACCAACGGTGCACCACCTGGTTAATGCAAATAAACATGAACAAAACTAAAGCTGTCACTTTTCCAACGAAATTACAAATCAGTCATCACGCGTACATGATTGGAGAGGACCGCATTGAAAACGTTGCGTCAATTCAATACCTCGGCGTCCACCTAACAGCTAACTTAACATGGAACCTTCATATTTAACATGTAAACCGCAAAGCTTCCAGAACTCTTGGTTTCCTTAAACGCTCTTCATTTCAAGCTAAGAAAGGAACTAAACTCCTAGCCTATATATATTACCCTCGTCAGGTCGCAGTTGGAATATGCATCCATCATACGGCACTCTCATCAGCTTTACTTAACCAACCATATTGAGGCACTTCAAAATAAAATTGCAAGATTTATAACCCGCGACTTCTCCCGTACTTCCAGTGTGTTGAACATAGAACGTAACTAGGGATGCCGCGAACCACCCTAAGTTCGACTTCGAAAGATTTCGATATTTTCGAACCGAACTGATGTTCGAATTCGAAAGGTTTCAAAATTTTTGACCGTACGGAGATTCGAATTCGAAAAATTCGCAACTTTCAAAAATCGTGGTTTCGAATTCGAAAAGTTCGAAGCTTTCACGGTTTCTAAAAGTTCGGGTTCGACTATTTCGAATATTTCTTTACTTGAGGTCGAGAAATTCGAAGATTTCGAAACTTTCCTAACTTGAAAATCGAGAGATTCGAATGTTTCAAATTCCTTTGGATCTGAAATTCGAAAAATCGAACGTTTCGAATTTTTATAGACATGAAGTTTGATAAATTCGAATGTTTCGAATTTCTTTCCACATAAAGTTCGAAAAGTTCGAAGGTTTCGATTCTCTGTTAGTGCTAAATTTGAAAAACAAACTTAGGTTTCGAATTTCTTTAAAGTCCAAGTGCGCAAAGTTCGAAGTCCGGTTTTCATGATCCGCCACAGTTTGTTTCAAATAACGTTTTCACGCCTCACTGGTTTTTACGAAATCAGGTTTAGAAACGTTCGGGTGTGATATTCAGATTGCGCGAAGTTGGTCAGGCAATTAAATGAGACGACAAGTGTCCCGGATGTGCTGGATTATTTGCCAGCGCAGAGTGACGTGTGCAGATCAGTAATTGTGGCCGCCAGCCCGGGGGGCGGGGGGGGGGGGGGGGGGGGGGGGTCTTTAACGTGCATCACGCAGTAGTGATCACACGAACGCACTGTTTAACGATACTCATCCAGTTCGAAACGGCCAGGGGTAGGGAGCCTTCATGTGCGCTTTGCTAGGGTGATGCCACCCTTTGTAATACCACTCGCCGACAAACCAGCAGCCATTTTGTTCCTCGGCGATAATCCATGGGGCTTATAACCCTCCCGGAAACAAGCACCTTATCTCAGAAGTTCGGAGCAGCGTTGTGGAACCCACGGAGGGAGGATTAGCATTTTCCCCCTCGGATGGGATTACCGATGGACACAAAGGCCACTTTCCGGCGCATGGGGAAACAATGAGAGGAACAAAATGGCGGTGGACGAGGGTGTGGGAAAGGGAAACAGGCAGTTGCCATCACCCTATGCGAAGCGCACATGAAAGCACCCTAGCCAGGGGCAGGCAGGTGGTTGAGTGCCACTGAGGCTCAGAAAAACCTTGAAGCAATCTGGCAAACTGCCTCCCCACCCCCTTGCACGCTGGTAGTAATCCGCTCGAACGCCGCCCGAGTGACCCTGGCATATAGTAAGTTTAGTTTACATGATGCAAAATCCTGAGACTGGGAATGAAATTTGAAAGAAAGAGTGTAAGAAGACAGAAAAAAGGGGACAGGACAATGTCTCAAACTCAGCTCAGGACAACGCCTCAAACTCAACTCAGCTGAGTTTGAGACTTTGTCCTGTCCTCCTTTTTTTTTTTTCTTCTTACACTATTTCTTTCGAATTTCATTCCCAGTCTCGGGATTTTGCATCATGATCAACAGACACCAGCTCGCCTGCACCTCGACATTTTTTTTTAGTTTGTAATTGCTTTGGTGGTTTATTTTCGGAGACGGAAGAAACGCCGAGCAAAAAGCACAGAAGCCGACACAGCTTGAGGTCGAGGAGCGTTCTACCATACCAGCAGCGTCGGAATAGAAAAAAAAAAGGGGGGGGGGAGGGGGGGGAGGGGGAGAGGGGGGAGGTGGGGTTCTCCAGTCTCCCCCCCCCCCCCCCCCCCCCCTTCAGATATTTCGGACTGTTAAAGAAAACAATACGAGGAAAGAGGCAATGGTCGAGCTTATTTTAATCTGAAATTATTTATGCATATGAATAGCTACTGTCGCTCTTCACTGCATAAAAGATCGCGTAGATGGTCATTGTTAGAAACTCGTTGTCAGAAGGCACTACTCGTCACATGCTTAGTGGTTCGGAAGTTCAAAGCTATGTCTTTTCGACCTAAATAACTGTGCCATTGGTAAGAAATAATAAATAAATAAACATAACAATAAATGCAAAACTAAAAAGCTGGAGAAAAAAAAAACTATCAAGAACCCGCCGGGAGAGTTGTATTCTTGCATATTCAGAGGCCGAGAACTATGAAACTAATTTCTCCTACCAAAATGTGTACAGGCTAAAAGAAACACGTCCCAAAAAAGTGAAATGACAAAAAAAATAATAAATGTTTTTTTTTTGTTTTTTATGACGTGCCGAAATAATAATAAAGGGTTTTTTTTTTTGGTTTTTATGACGTCCCGAATTTAAACAATATTAGAAATCTTTCTCCCTGAGTTAATTTATTCCTCAACGTGAAAAGAAAAATATATACAATAATTTGTATTCTGCAGATAGTAATGATGTGTACTGTCTGCGGTGTTAATTTAAATGCGATACCTCAAACAATTTCGACAAAAAAAATTACCAAGTTTTGGGCCCGTAGATACATATTTGGATATTTCTTCGAAACTCGTCTCGAACAACAATAATCATACCTTAAGACGACACTTACCTAGGTTATACATTGATCATTTTTAAAAAGTTTAACATCTCTACCATAAATATCTTCGGCTGCAGCGCGCTTCAAATATGGCACAAACGGCAATTGTCAAAAACCCGTCGTCCTTCCTTGCTCCTTCGGGAATCTATTTCTTTAAAACGGAGCATGCCAGATGAATGAAATAAACGGCATTGTCTTTCGCAAAGAACGCGGCACCACATGTGAAAATGCGAGAAAAAAAATTACGAATGTACATCACTGCTTAAATCCAAATGAAACCGCCCGCCCGTATTTCGAAGTTTGACGCACTTCGAACTTTTACCCTAAAAATTCGAAGTTCGTCGAACTTTTGGCTTTTCAGGAATCGGAAGTTCGACTATTTTCGAATTATTTAGATTAATAAGTTCGAAAGTTCGAAAAATATCGAATTTCTTAGCGTAGGAAGTTCGAAAGTTCGAAAAGCTTCGAACTTTTTAGTGGAAGAAATTCGAAAGTTCGAAAATCATCGAATTCTTTTGTCTATCAAATTGAAACGTTCGAAAAGCATCGAATTTTGCAGCGTAATAAGTTCGAAATTTCGAAAAGCGTCGACCTTCCTGGTTTAACAAGTTCGAAAATTCGACTTCCGTCGAATTTCTCGATATGGAAAGTTCGAAAATTCGAAATCTTTCGAACCTTTGGAAACGCTTGATTCGATCATCGAAACTTCGTATCGAAAAAAGTTCGCGACATCCCTAAACGTAACCTCAACCTAACCCAACTGCAGTACAGCATTGCTCGCATGTCATTTTTTCACAAGCTTCATCATGAATCATCTCCCTTTAGGACTTCATTCATTCAGCCTGCACATCGCATTTCGTCTCGCGTAGATCATCACTTTAAAGTATCGCTCATCTTTGCCCGGATTAACTTGTTCAAGAATTCCGCTCTGGTTCTTGCCATCTGCGAATGGAAGAGCCTCCCCAGAGAAATCGCGTTAATGACTTCACCTGATATGTTCATTAGTTTTTTAAGTAATATGTACCATTTTATATAGTGCTACTTTGTGTCATGTTTTCATCCAGTGTTCTTGTCATTTATATTGTTTATTGCTTGTTTAACATTGTTTATGCCAACTATATGCAATCGTTTTTTTTTCCACTTGACCCAATTGTATTAAACCTTGTACTATCGCTCCCCCCCCCCCCTATATAATGCCCATTTGGGCCTTTAAAGTAAATAAATAAATAAATAAATAATCTAAGCAAACCTACAGAAATATTAAGCGACCAAGGAATAAAAAGATTTACATGCCGATATTTTACGTTTACTTGTATCTAACAAAATTAGGTCTCTATCACTCGTAGTTAAACATTGTTAGACAACAAATATTTCGGTATTAGACAGATTAGGTTGGGTTTTAAGTCGAATATCATGCTACCCTTGCAATTGACAACTGTAATTAGTCTTGCTATCGAAAAGGATTGATTTCCATTTGGAGGAATTTTTATATAGAAAGCACCATCGACAATGTTTGCCGCACCTCGTGAATTCGTTTAAATATTGCGATTGGGTAGCAGCCGTCTTCTCGCATGTTTTTTTTTTTTTTTTTTGCATGATTCTTAATTGCGACCCGGGAACGCGCAATTGCTCGGCACATGAAGCAAAAGCTTGTGTCGAATAAACCCGGGTGTCCTACTTTTAATCCCCACCCCTGCCCATTTCTATCTGAATAAGCATCGTACCAGTGTGCGTTTGTACGTCACTACTGCGTGATGCACGTTAAAGACCGACCAACGAAACCATTTTCCGCAAGGTAGGAAAATGCCCCTCGCACCCTCCTCTTTTCACCCTCTCCC